AAATTAAATTATGTATACATTATATGAAATTGAATTATTATACCTCAAATTTATTAAATCAATGCTAAGTTTGAGATTTATATTTATATTTATAATCAGTATATCCATGTTTTGCTCTTTATTATTATTTAATCCTCGATTTAATTTTCATGTACCGGCTCGTATCAATATTCATGTTTTGTTTCCTGTGATTATCGGTGTATCTATAACTAAATGCCCGAATATTTAAGGGTCAAATGATTTTGAAATTTAATTTAATGATTACTTCGTGACAGATTTTCAACATTGTGAATTACGTTTAATAAAATTTAAAAGTTCGAAAAGTAACATTAAATAATAACGTTAGGTAATAAAAAAAAAAAAAAAAGAAAACGTTAAGTAACGTTTAATAAAATTTCGAACTCTCTTATATATTTATAACAGTTCGAACACTACCATATTAATTATTAATCGACGTGCATTTTTTCACACGCGTTCAAAAGTACAACAGGATCTTTCAAAAAACGTAACGTTAATTCAAGAAACTCTGCGACCGTGTTATTTAAAATTCGTTTGTCTTCCTTTTTTTTTCCCCGCTCGTCTTCTTCAGCAGTTCCTTCTTGGTTTCCCTGGCCAGCTGGATTGGCCAACTTGGCGGAAAACTTTCCAAGGAATCTGCTTTAACGATGTCCCTTCTGTCTTTCCACGGACAACTTTCGTTCCGCCGTATTCTTTCCCCTAATAACTTTTAGCTCCCCCTCGCGAAGACGAGGAATGCAAATTTCTGTCCCGTTGGGACGCGAATCGGCAATCGAATTTCCCTTTTGAAACCCTAGGGGATTTCTGGTTACTTCTCCGCCTCTAATCTCGTTGTGGCGATTAACGGTGGGAAATTCTCACCAGATCTTGTGAAAATTCGCGTGATTTTTTTGTGTAATTCGACAGAGGATAGAAGAATGTTTCAAACGATGCAAGAAAATAAAATATAATTTTTGTGAAGCATGTTAGGTTGATATAACGTGATGTATTTTTGTATTAAAATTATGATCGTGTACTTTATGAGAACGATCAATTTGAAGATTCAAGGATTCTTGGGATAGTATTTCTCAGTATTACTTGTAATATTGTTTTAATAATATTAAATTAAATTAATCAATTAATTGATGATATAGAACAGCAATTTTACAACGAGGTAATTAAATATTGCCTCGAATTACTTCGTTCGCAATTTTTGATAAATTATTATGACAATTTTGAAGCAACATTTACCTGAAACTATTAGTTTTATATTTCTCCCTAGATAATTTTAAATAAAATTGGAATATTTGTTACGAATCGATCAATTTAGAAGTGTTATTGTCAAATATGCATCATTTTATTTATTTATGTATATAGTATATAGTCTACCAGCTTCTGGAAAATTCTACATCATTCTAGTCGAGTAATGTAAAATTTTTTCGTTCAATCTCAACATTCAAAGTTCGATAAAATATTTAAAAAGAGAGAATTAAAATAATATTACAATTGATACTGAAAAATACTATCTCAAGGATAGAGCAAATTTCAATTTTCAAGATCACTGTGAATCTAGCTATGAAATTTTTCGTTAGATTGTGAGAGTTAGAAAAAACGTCCCAAAATTATGTAATTCTTTTCTCATGAAATTAAAAATATGAACAAGTCGTAGACGTACGTAACATTATGCGTATAATTGGAACTTCAACTGAAGATTATAATTATGATCTATAGAGAATTATGGGTTGCCATAGGCTTGTAAAGAACTTTCACTGTAATTAAAATGAACTTTTTACAATTATTGTGGTCTAGAAAACGTTGTTTAATATCGTTAAAATTACAAATAATATAAAAATATAGAAGAATTATATAGCGGAAAATTATAGAAAATTATAATTTTAGAAACGTGTAGAGAACTATAAGTTATAGAAATACAGTTGTAAAAAATTATGAAAGATTATAATTATGGAGGCTTATAGAGAATTATGGGCTATAGTTGCACAGGCTTGTAAAGAACGTTTACTGTAATTATAATAGACTTTTTACAATTATTGTGGTCTAGAAAACGTTGTTTAATATCGTTAATATTACAAATAGTATAAAAATATAGAAGAATTATATAGCAGAAAATTATAGAAAATTATAATTTTAGAAACGTGTAGAAAATTATAGAAAATTATAATTTTAGAAACGTATAAGTTATAGAAATATAGTTGTAGAAAATTATGAAAGATTATAATTATGGAGGCTTATAGAGAATTATGGGTTAACGTTTACTGTAATTATAATGGACTTTTTACAATTATTGTGGGCTAAAAAACGTTGTTTAATATGGTTGAAATTACAGATGGTATAAAAATATAGAAGGATTATATAGCAGAAAATTATAGAAAATTATAATTTTAGAAACGTGTACAGAACTATAAGTTATAGAAATACAGTTGTAAAAAATTATGAAAGATTATAATTATGGAGGCTTATAGAGAATTATGGGTTAACGTTTACTGTAATTATAATAGACTTTTTACAATTATTGTGGTCTAGAAAACGTTGTTTAATATCGTTAAAATTACAAATAATATAGAAGAATTATATAGCAGAAAATTATAGAAAATTATAATTTTGGAAACGTGTAGAGAACTATAAGTTATAGAAATATAGTTGTAGAAAATTATGAAAGATTATAATTATGGAGAATTATGGGTTATAGTTGCACAGGCTTGTAAAGAACTTTCACTGTAATTATAATGGATTTTTTACTATTATTTGTGGGCTATCTAGAAAACGTTATTTAAATTTTAGGGACGCCTAGAAAATTATAATTGTGGAGACTTAAAATTTACAGGTTGTACAATGGTTGTAATGATTTGTAGAAAATTAATTATGGAGGCCCACAGAAAATTATAAAAAGTTATAATCAAGGTGAACGATACAGGTGAGACTGTAAGATGATTACAAAGTGATTATAAATTCCACAATTGTGGAAGAGGATTATAGTTAATAAATCACAGTTGTAAACAATTATAAAGTATTGTTAGTAGG